GCTGTCCCTCTCTGTCAAATAAATAAAATCTTTAAAAATAAATAAATAAATAAATAAATAAAAAGGAGAAAAGAGAAAAAAAAAAAGACTCCACACTCAGTGCGGAGCCCAATGCAGGGCTTGAACACTTGACCCTGAGATCAAGACCTGAGCTGAGATCAAGAGTTGGGCACTCAACCAACTGAGCCACCTACGCGCCCCCCAAATATTGCTACCTCACTTAAATGGGAGACTAGATTGAATGAAATGGGAGAATGGGATGGTATGACAGTACCCAAATTCTCAACTGCCCTAACAAGAAATTACTAGATAAAAAGATAGAAATGTCAAGAAATACGTTTAAGTATATAATTCAGAAATGTGAAGATTGAGCTGTTCTTAGCAGGCATTAGAGTTAAAAGTAGAATCATCTGTGGAGTTGGACTTGGCAGTGGGAAGTTTAAAGCTGAGGGACTGGCATTGTTTATTAAGATTATTTGGATTTTTAATCTAAGTACATTGCTTTGTTAAAAACCTAAAATAACTACGTTATTGAAATGAAAAGACATTTCCCTTCATTGTTCTTTTTGAAAGATAAAACTTATTAAATAATTTAGCATAAAAAAATCTAATTAAAAAAAAGCCACAAATATCAAAGTATCAAAGAAGTAGTAAAGCATGCATTAAGCTCCTACAAATAGTGCTTTTCAAGTCATTCAAGCATTTCTGAACTTTTCTTAGGGAAATGTTTTAAACATTTGCTATAATTAAAGATACACAAATGTTAGAATACCATAAACAACTTTATAGTGTAACAAATATACTTTAAGCAGTCCTTACTTATATCCCACTTCCTGCTTTTAAAAAATGTGTAATTTTGGTTTTTGATAGTGAACTCGGTATTGCAGCTGTTCTCCAAGTTAGGGTATCTAACATTCCATATGAAATGCATATAATAGGGTGTCTGGGTGGCATAGTTGGTTAAGCATAGGACTCTTGCTTTCAGCTCAGGTGATCATCTCAGGGTTGTGAGATCAAGCTCTGCATCGGGCTCCGTACTGGGCATGGAGCCTGCTTAAGATCCCCCCTCCCATGCACGCTAGTGTGCATGCACTCTCTCTCCCTCTCTGAAATAAATCTCAAAAAAAAAAAAAAAAAAAAAAAAAGAAAAGAAAGAAATGCACATAATGACATGATGCCTTAAAGTGTGTACACTTTTAAAGATCTCTTGGTGTATTTAACACAGCAATGCTGATAAAATTCTTATTATAGCAGTGAGGTAAGCATTAGAATTTCAGGCCAAGTTATTGGAGGTATTCAAAGAGATCAAAAGTGTTTCCCTGGGTCTGACAGCCCGAACATTTGTTAAGAAATGTATTCTAAACCTGATTTAGAAGAGGGAAGGCTCATGCTACCCAGACATTTCTGGAAACTTCTCTAATTTGGAGCTCTGTAATACATTCAAAATAGTGCCATGTTTAACAAATATTTAACCTTAAAAATACTAGAATACTTCTTGAAACCTATTATATTTATTCTTTTAAACTATTCTGATCTGAAGAAAGAACTGAAGTTTAGGAAAGGGGAAAATGAACATAAAAAAACGTTTATTTCTAGCCCTGAAAGAACAAAATTATTGAACAAAGTCATCAAATACAGCAGTTAATGTCAATGTAACAATTAAATAATTGAACGGGATTAAATTAAAAATAAGTCAATATAAAATTTGAAGACAAAACAGAAAAGACAAACTACTTTCACTTAATTCCATTTCTATCTACCAAAACAAGGGGAAAAAGATGTCCATTCCAAATATAATTCTTTGCTTTTCTCAATACAGAATGAAAATTTGTTTGACAGAATTACACATTTCTTCCTCTCTTTCATTTGGCAACATTCTAGAATGGTGAGTGAAAAGGACTTCAGCTCTCTCAAGGCCAGGCCAGTGCTTGATTCTGCCTTGTAATTCCCACAATATCTACACCACAGTGTCTTTGCCAAAGTGGTCAATAAATGTGTTGAGTGATTAAAAAACTGTATGTGTGTGTGTGTGTGTGTATTTTTTCCCTTTCTTACACACCCACATATACACACACTGTGGGAAAACCGATTTTAATTGTCCAGCTTATCTATTGTGGAAGCAATGGAAACAAAGAAGACAATCTTCATTTTATGTAACTATGAAATCCCACTATAAAAAACCCAAAAGGAGTATGAATCTGGATTTTAGCTCTAATTCTGCAATGGTTTTTTTTTTTTTATTTCACTGGATATGGATCTCATTATTTAAAATTTTTAGATTAAAAAACTGATGCAAGTTCTTTAAACACCCATTTTTTCTAACTATACCTACAGATCTAAAATTGTTCTGGCTAGAATACAGTATATATAAACAGACATGTATTTATGTGAACCCTATAAAGAAATACTCATAGGTAGTTTTAAATTGCTTATTAAAGGCACAGGTTCATTTAGGACTGGTGGTAACTAGATACATTTTAAGCAGCTTAATATTTATGTGTGGAAGAGAAGAGAATTTATACTATGTGCCAGGCACTCAACACATGAAAACAGAGTTGTGTTAGCTTTGGTTTCTTACGCTATCACAACTACTCTACTTGTTAACTATTCTCAGGTAGGATAAAATATTCAGTATTTTCATGGTTTCCCAGTTTTAACTGTCCCTAAAAGCAGCAAAAGGAACAAGAGGAGAAGGAAACTTTAAGACTACCAGAGAGTCTGAAATATAATAAATAAGTACTATAGTAATATTGTTCTAATTAACACAAGAGGACTAAGGTAACTTTTAGATTTAAATGGGAATTTTCATTCTAAAGTGATGACAAAAAGGGTGAATACAAAAGGTAGTTATTAAAAAAACATGAATCTTGATTCAGATATAATTTTTCTTTCAACAAGATCTGAACATTTTAATTTAAAATTAACTAATAAATCACAATTCCATATTGCTTTTAGGATTATTTTGTTTAAAAATGACACATTTCAGAATTAACCAAAGTATATTTCTATTACAAGTTAGTTTATCCAAGTAAGTAAAGAATAAACCACAGTGTAGCTCCCTTAACCTGGGAGTCAGGTTTTAATGACAAAGTCCGTTGCCAGCAATGGACATGCAGGTAACCCTCAAAGAAGTTGTAAATACAAATCCCAAACTGCTTCTATAAACTGAGAAGACCTTTGTTGAGTCACAGGCATAAAAATGGAGCATTGGCACTGTATTCAATGAACATGGTCTTTATGGCATATGTGTGGAAGGGCCTTCAGAGTGGTCATGATGATCAGTCTTAACATCTAGTTGGTTTTCTAGTTCATCGGTAGCGTCTTCTTTATCATAATCCATCCAAACAACTATTTACACAGAATGTTCAAATCTACACTTTCATCAGAAATATACCATCTTGTTTCTGTAATTCAGTAATAGCTGTAGGTGGCCAATATAATCCAGAGAAAAATGAAATCAAGAATCAAACTGAAAACAGAGACCATTAATTAAGTGCTCTAGATAAAAGTTTCACTACTTATTTTACTCAGTTTCATGAAAACCTTGCATTATCAATTAAAAAACAGCCATTTCTATCCTTATATCTTGACACAGATGTGAGGAAAATGATAGGAAACAAAACTCGATTAGTTCCCCTAATGTAGTCCAAAATATCAAAATTATTTTTATTCATGACCTGTACTACTGCAGGATGGCAAGTAGGTATGAAGTTAATTAGGAGTGGTGGTGGGGAACAAAATGCCTGAACCAAATCAGATTTTTTTCTTTTATGTGGCTTATGGCATGTCAGAAGGGACGACACCGCTTCCACAAGCAAAACAATAAAAAAATAGGAGAGAAAAGCAAACAGAAGGGGGGTGGGTGGAGAAGAAAGGACACTCTCATAATTAATGCTACAGGTCACAGACCCTCTTCAAATTTTTAAAATAAAAAAAGTATTGTTATCAACAAGCACATTTCATTTTTCTTCTCGTTTTTTTCACACGATTACTTATTTTCGAAAAAAAAAAAATCTACTCAACATCTCAAATAATCCATGACTATATCATAGACTTTGTGACTTAAGTTCTCGCAGATATTAAAATGTTGGCAATGGGTTGGAAACAATGTTTATAACAAATCTCTACAGTTTACTGGTCAGAAGTGGCATCTCTATGTAACTGTCATTTCTCTTTCATGAACATAATCTTATCGAATTACTTTAGAGCTCACCAAAGTTCTAGTCTCTTGCTTTGTTTCTGCTAGCCCCAAGTATTTTTCTCCTTTAAGTGGAAAAAAAAAATTAAAACTTTTAAATTCGGAAAATTCAATGGTTATTATATTATTTACCAAAGGGGGAGGGGTGGAGTAGGGTGAGAGAGGGTTAATTAAAAAACAAACTAACTAAAATTACAACATATACAGAAACTTATCTCCAAAATGAAGGTAAAAGGAGGAAGGGAAAAGGAGCGGTACCCATCAGTCCCAAAGCCCAAGCTGGAACAAGAAAGAACAAATCACTTTGGTTCCTGAAGCCCAATCTGAAAAGGATATAGTCAGAAAAGACACACAATTGTAAGGATGTATAATCAATGGGATTCTTTTTCTATGTCAATGATTTAGTTATAAATATAGATTATTAGTCTCTCTATACATGTAACAAATGCCAAACAACTCACTACCATGAAATTTCTAAAACTGACTCTTTCACATTTGTTAAAAAAGGTAAAAATCACATATTTTTCTTCCCTTCCTTCAGTTCAAATTATGAACTGAAATACTACACGTAATAATAGCTGGTCCTAACTTCTATACAAAGCTAACCGATTTTGAGCTCCTTTGCCAATATAAGGGGCTACATCATTTTTATTACATTTGCCTTGAATTTAGGCACAAGAAAAATTTCTCAAAGCAACTCAAAGAAGCAAGCAAGGAAAAAGAAGGCTATGGAGAAGAGAGAAAAGAAGACCAGCAGATGGAACCAATACTCTGAACAACCCGAATCTGCCATTCAAGTATTGAAAATGCTCCCCCAAAGGGACAATGAATGGGATCTATTATGATGAAGTCAGCAAAATAAAATGCAAATCTCAAGCACGATCAACAGCCCTAATGGGCTGTCTGCTGAAAGAAGTAAGGCTAGTGATTCAGTCCGCAATTCCTTTTGGACCCTCTAAAGAAGGGAGTCAATAGAAAGTTGTCGTTCTGTTTTGCAATTTTCTCTTGGTTCTCTTCAGGAAGTAGTTTGCTTTTTCCTCCATGTTATGCAGACCATTTCTTTAAACCCCAAAAGAGTAATAATTTTCATATATTAAAAGATTTCTTTTAGAAAATGGAAGAAAGAATACGAGGCCACGGCAATGATGCTAACGGTTACTCTTCATTGCTTCTTTAGCTGCCATGATCAGTGGAGTCAGGCTGGACAAGGGCTTGGCCAGTTTCAGGAAGGGATGCTGCCAGAGAGAGGGGGGGAAATATGTATCAGTGTCACCAGATCAGACGCTTAAGTATTTCTTTTCAATTAAGCCCCAAAGACTATTTTATGGATTATAATTTATTTAACAAGCACATATTTCAGGACGTGTATAAAATCAACATAATCAATATATCACTTTCATAGTTGAAACAGGTCTTTTCAGTTTATCTAATATTATCAAATCTCACCTTAATGACCCAGATACCCATGCCAGCAAATGAACTTGTCTGATAACTGACAATATGCAAAAACTCATATACTTGATTTTAGTATTATAGCTATTTTATTCCCAGCAGATAAAATCCTAAACTATAGCAACTGCCATGCTGCTGGTGATAAATGAAGAGTGCAATGTTAATTATTAATCCTATGTAAACTTTGTTGGTTACTCAAAAAAAATCAACTTTATCCAAAAATAGTATTATTTTCAAATTCACCTGTAACAATTCTTTGGCCGAACCCCTTTTCTCCACATCCATCTCCAAACAACGGTTTAAGAAATCCCGAAATATTGGGGAAAGTTTCTCTGGATTCTGAAGTTCTGGAGTTCCATTAGTTGCTATCAGGTATAAGGCCTAAAAATAGAAGAACATCTTTGACATACTTAAGACAGCACAACAAAGTGAGACAGCACTTTATAAAGTTTATGGATCTTTTACTTCTTTAGTTTTTTTTTAAAGATTTTTTTTAAAAGTAATCTCTACACCCAACGTGGGGCTGGAACTCACAACCCTGATATCAAGAGTCACACACTCCACTGACTGAGCCAGCCAGGCACCCCTGGATCTTCTACTTCCTTAAAGACAATCACCAGAGGGGCGCCTGGGTGGCTCAGTCGTTGGGCGTCTGCCTTCGGCTCAGGTCATGATCCCAGGGTCCTGGGATCAAGCCCCACATCGGGCTCCCTACTCCGCAGGGAAGCCTGCTTCTCCCTCTCCTACTCCCCCTGCTTGTGTTCCCTCTCTTGCTATGTCTCTCTCTGTCAAATAAATAAATAAAATCTTAAAAAAAAA